GCATTAAACTAGTCAATATTTGATATGACCCCTCTTCTCCTGACTTACAAGTTGAAGCCTGGGGCTCAGATTTGTAAATATTCAATTAGTTTGCTGTTCGTTTGTTTTGTTCAAGCCATCTCAATTAAAAATTTCAGCTTGATCAAACTTCCTATTTGTTTGCCTTGGAAGATCAAATCTAGTAACATATTTAACATTTTTTACCCAAATTCATGAGTATCAAGCATATTTTGATGGCTATTGTTGGGTGTATTACTGATTGAATATTCTCCAGAAAGAGGCCAGGGCAGTCTGATTTGACTGGTAAATGAAGCCCCCGCCCCTTAATTGTTCTGATATGAATGATATCCATTGGATATATCAATATGTCTATCAAAATCATAGAGAGAACACAAATGGTATATTATTAGACTCCAGATTGAAAATCTGGAGTCTATTGTTTTTGCCTGTTTTCTTATTATTATTATTCTTTTTTCTTCCTCCTTGCCAAATTTCTCGTCAACTATAACAGCTTACTTAATCCAACTTACATGGTTAACTTAAGACTGTATCCGGCTTTCTGGGAAATTAGGTCAAATTTTTATCTAGGTCAAAGGTCAAGAACTAGGTCAAATCCAGTACTTTGTCACTTTTTCCCATTATCTCAATCGTCCTTCAATATTTTTGATCCTGGTTTTTTTCATTGTGTTCCTCATAAAAAAGTAGAAAACCTAGGGTCGATTTAGTTTTTTGGTATCTCAAACCGATTTCGAGATATCAGTGTCCGAAAACGAGGTCCAAAAAATATTTCTCCGAATCCAATGTCCAGGATATCAGTCTTATAGGAAATTTTCTCAGGATTCCGAATCTGAAAACAAAATTTCGATTTGACTTCCGGTTCAGAAGTTATGGCGTTTTGAAAATTCAAAAATCGCTAAATTTGGTACCCCATGTTAATTCAATGGGAAAAAATATTTTTTTGAAGTGTAAAATACGAGATATAGACTTAGCACAGCTAAACATAATGGAAGCCCATAAAAGAAAGGGACCACAAGACCTTGTTTTCATAAAAATTTGGACACCAAAATGCCTAGGTCAAAATCTAGGTCAAATTCAAAGTTTTTTTTTATTTTTGCGATTCTGACACTACATATTAATTATATTCTTCGAAATTTTGTATACATGTAGCCAAGAGTGTGCCAATAGTGTTAGCCTTTTGCCGTCAGAAAGTATTTTGACCCACTTTTGAGATATGGTGTCCGAAAAGTAGGTCAAACTAAAAAGTTCTCCAAATTTAACGTATGAGTTATGAATTAAGGGTAGCATTTTCTCAGGAATCCAAATCTGCAAACCAAATTTCAATCCGACTGCCGGTTCGGAAGTTATGTCGTTTTGAAAGCTCAAAAATCGCTAAATTTGGTGCCCCATGTTATGGCAATGGGAAAAAAGATTTCTTTGAAGTGTAAAATACGAGATAAAGACTGAGTACAGCTTCACATAATGAAAGCCTATAAAAGAAAGGGACCTCAAAAGCTAGCTAGCTTCACAATTTGGTCACCAAAATGCCTGGGTCAAAATCTAGGTCAAATTTATAGTTTTAACTTATTTTTGCGATTCTGACACTACACTTTAATTATTTGCTTCAAAATTTTGTATACAGGTAGCAAAGAGTGTGCTAATAGTGTTAGCCTTTTGCCGTCAGAAAGTATTTTGACCCACTTTTGAGATATAGTGTCCGAAAAGTAGGTCAACATGAAAGTTTCTCCAAATTTAACGTATGAGTTATGAATTAAGGGTAGAATTTTCTCAGGAATCCGAATCTGCAAATCAAATTTCAATCCGACACCTGGTTTGGAAGTAATGGCGTTTTGAAAAATTAAAAAATTGGTATTTTGATATCCCATGTTATGTCAATTATCTTTGTCACTATTCGGCATTATTCCTTTATCTTTTTTTCAGCATGTAGCTTAAAGACAGTCCTTTCATTATTGTAACTGTCTTTTTTGATTACTCTTACCGATTTTGAGGAATGGCGTCCGGAAAGTAGGTCAACATAAAAAGTTCTCAAAATTTAATGTATGAGTTATGACACAAACGTAGAATTTTCTCAGAAATTCGAATCTGCAAACCAAATTTCGACCCAAATTCTGGTTAGATAGTTATAGCTGTTTGAAGTCTCGAAAAGTCGATATTATGATATCCCCATGTTAAGCCAATGTAGACGAAGATAAGCTACTTAAGAGTTGTCTAAATGTCTGTATTCTGGATGACTCAGCTTATTCTGAATGGCTCAGCTTACAGTATTTTGGATGACTCAGCTTAAAAAAAGTTTTAAATCTGGAGTCTTAAATTGAACTTGTTCAATTTACATGTCTAGTTATATTATACACTGTATGTGTGCTTAGCATTGGTTTTTAATGTGAATAACTGGCCATGGTCAGTTTTGCCTTTACTGAAAAGTGGGAACAATTCTTTTGACACTTGAGTAGCTGTGAGGGTTATGCAATCACTCACCTCTGACATGTTCCTTTTTTCCCTACTCTTAAATGAAAATGATCATTTTGGGTATTGTTTAAGTTTAAGTTAACACAATATTTTTCTGGCAAACCCCAGATGTAAATATTCTTTGTCAACTGAATATGATTTTATAAAATATTTATAGCAATTAACATGTGCATTAAAGCTTTGAAATAAATAATACTTGAAAAAGTAGCCGCGGAATTGACAAGTGTATATTTAAGAAAAGGGGGTCCTATCAAACATTGACTAGTTTAATGCATTAACTTTGTGGTTTTCACCTATAAACTTTACATCAGATAAATAAGTGATTGAACTATGCTCAGTAAAAGTTTGGTACATTTTAGAAGAAAAATAAAGGTTATGCGTTCAATTAACAAATGTTCCAATTTTTTTTGGACCACCCTGTATATATAGGCCAATGGGTGTTTGCCTACTGGATTATCTTATCATATATTCCATGTTTACAAATCCTATAGACATTAGCTAATTGAATTAATCACAGACAGACATGTAAGGATTAGATACACTAAGTTTGTATTTCCAGGACTTCTATCAATAACATACGCTTTGAGAATTTTTACAAAACTCTGAAGACGTTACGGTATGGATTGATGGGTTATTTGGCTATCACATTTTGAATTGTATGTTTTATAGGAATTGTAATTTGATTATTTTAATAAAGATTTTTGATATTGTTTTATTCAATTAAATTTTGATATATTTTCAAGTTTATATCGTTTGTTGGGATTCTTTTATTTTAAGTTGTCATTGTGTTTTTGAGTTCAGAAGAGTACAATTATTGTCACATCAAAATCCATTTTATTTTAATACATTAATTGACTGGACACTACAACCAATGGCATTATACATGTAGCTACATCACATGTATCATTGCAGTGGTATCTTGTAAAGTTTCAGGTACTTATCTGACAACATATTGGAGAAACATTTCCTGGTTTGTAATACAGTATATAATCTTACTATAGATTGTAAACATGATAGATATGTATGTTTGGGAGACACATACAAGCAGAATCAGTTCATTTGTAATCAACAAGATATGTTAACATCATTATGCTGTACCTATACATTTTATTTAGGCCAAAAGACTCGTTCCATTGTTTCCAATCAAGGTGGACAATTTGCTGGTTTAAAAATGGGATTCTCTATTATGAAATAACCTGTATAGTACTGAACAAAAGCCTATCATGGATAAGTTAACAGAATGACTAATTATACTAGTTGCTAGATCCTTTGAAGTATGTATGAGTATATGTAATATGCAGTTGATCAATAAGGGATAAACTGTGCGCTTCAAAATGTTTTGTTTTTATGTTACCACCAAAAATGGTGACATATTGTTGTTCAGAGTTTGGCATCTGTAACAAATGCAAGGTAGTGACATTTTGCATGTTAAAGGACAACTGAAATAGCTTTTCTCAACTTGCAGCTACGAAAATGCGGGTTTCTCCATTGTAAGACCAACGTAGAGTTCTTGCGATAGCCATTATAAAACAAATGTTAGATAACTGCTAACGGTCATAAATAACGAAATAAAACTAGCTGATCAATCAAATTGGCCCCCACGTGATAAGTAACGTCATATACAAAATATAGCTTTGGTTTGTTGGTTCCTTAGTAATCACAACGTCATGGCAACCATAGGATTGTAGTGTAAACCAAAACAAATCATTTTGGCATTATGACGTTATGGGCCACGTGGGGACCAGTGAGAGATCACGTGGGGGCCAATAACGTCACAACCAATTCGAATATTGCTTATTAAGCAGCTATAATGATCGTTAGAGTGAAATAGTTTTCGCACTACTGATGAGAAAACATGTCCAAATACATTTATCAAAAAATTATATTGATTCCTGTAGGTTAAAAATACCATTTCATATCTGCTTTAATGCCTTGCTTTTAACAATTTGAGATTGTCGAGTTTGTGTATAGAGGTAGTCAAGGGTAATGGATATGTGACGTGAGGGAATTCGTGCCCATTTCCATTTTACATATATTTCTATACAGTTGACTGGACGATTATATTATATTAGGGGCTTTAAGGATCCAAAGGCAGGAATAAGTTAACAGAACCTGTGAGATTATAAAAATGAAATCTTATCTGATTTATTTATGTTTGATTATCAGGAATGTTGTTTATTAGGCTTCTACAACTAGAAGCAATAAAAGTTGATTCATCAAAGTGTTGCTTGCAAGTTGGTTGCTGGCAGGAACACATATCATTCAATTCCCAACACATGCAGGCCCCTAGCCAGGGGGAGCTGAGGGAGTGGCTGCTCCACCCCCACCTCTTTATTTATATATATGCTCCTACCCAACAACTATTAATGTGCTCTTATTTATACGTATTTATTAATTTCTACAAACATGTTATATAGTTCTCCATATGTATCACAAATTTCTCTTTACATATTTTATATCTCTAAAGATATATATATGAAATATAAAATGAAATAAAATGTATATTATTATTTCAGGACTCTGATAGGTCAGTGCTAGCCATAGGGGACCATGTCCGTTCCAGTTCCATTATCAGGCAACTCTCTAATGTTGGCACTTTCGAAAGAGAATTAAGTATGGGTATGTACTAGAAGTCTATCGATGAGACTTATTATCCCATCGAACAAAGTTCGGAGGGATATAGGGAACGCCTCCGTCCGTCCGTCCGTCCGTACGTACGTCTGTCCGTCCGTCCGTCCGTCCGTCTGTCCGTCCGGGCAATAACTCAAATACCGTTGGCCCGATTTTGTTCATATTTTGTACACATATACCCAATGGGGGTAGAAGTTCTGCTAGAAAACCGATTTTCAAAATGGCCGCTCATTTAAAAATGGCGGCCATTTTAGTGCCGATTTTACAGTAATTTAGGTACTGCATATAAAACTGTAATAGCAATATGTTTTAAATGTAAAAAGTTATATAGGACATTGATTAAGCTGGCTGCCTTTGCACGTCATTTTTCGATTTTTGCTGTAACTTGAAAAGTAGTGGAGCGATTTTGTTCATATTTGGTATGTGAATACTTTAAGCATGGCACAATGTCTAATGACATTTTTGGTAGTAGGCGGCCATTTTGAAAAATGGCCGCCATTCACGTGTTATTTAACATTTTTTACTGTAAGTCAAAAAGTAGTGGAGCGATTTTGTTCATATTTGGTATGTCAATGCTTTAAGCATGGGACAATGTCTAATGTCATTTTGGGTAGTAGGCGGCCATTTTGAAAAATGGCCGCCATTTTTACGTGTGTTATTTTACATTTTTTAGTATAAGTCAAAAAGTAGTAGAGCGATTTTGTTCATATTTTATATGTGAATACTATAAGCATGGCACACTGTCTAATTACAGTTTTGGTACTAGGCGGCCATTTTTACGTTTTTTACTATAACTCGAAAATTATTGGAGCGATTTTGTTCATATTTGATATGTGAATACTCATGAGCTCAGCACACTGTCTCATGACACTTCACGTAGTTGGCGGCCATTTTAAAAATGGCTGTCATTTTTACATTTTTTACTATAACTCGAAAAATATTGGAGCGATTTTGCTCATATTTGATATGTGAATACTTTAAGCATGGCACATTGTCTAATTAAACTTTGGGGAGTAGTCGGCCATTTTGAAAAATGGCCACCATTTTTATGTGTGTGATTTTACATTTTTATTATAACTCATAAAGTAATAGAGCGATTTTGTTCATATTTGATATGCAAATACTCGTAAGGATTGCATACTGTCTTATGACATTTTGAGTAGTAAGCGGCCATTTTAAAAAATGGCCACCATTGGCAATCTTTTAAGAATTTTATATGTGGCTACTTAAAAGCATATTACTTCTGATGACAACTTGGTTAGTGATCAACCATTTTGAAAATGGTGGCCTTTCTTATGGGTGTCATTTTATGATATTTGATATTTGCTATATATTTCGTATGTAAAAATGCCAGCCATTTCTGTTCGATGGGATTCGCTACGCTTTGGCGTTGCCGTTGTTCTGGTTTAAAATAATGATAATTTTGTAAGTTTTTCTAATGATTTTGTTTATTTATTGTAAAACTCCCCTGAATTCTGATATGCATCTTCAAGTCTCTCGATCCCCACCCTTATCTAGCTCATTAGGGTGTGGAGGGGATGGAACAGGGGGGGGGGTGGTTCAGGGTTGATCACAACAGATCACAAGCAAAATTAGAATATGACATAATTTACCACGATGCTCTGTATAATATTTGCCTACCTTTTTCATGCCAAACAATGATAGCAATTCATCTTGATAAAGTTGATGATAAAATGTATAGAATGCAACAATGTTCTAACAAAGTATATATCCTTTCAGAACTAGCAGATCAGGCCCCCAGTTTCCAGAGAATTTTGCAAGATGTACAGGCATTTGAGGGGGCATCAGCCAGGTTTCGCTGCAAGGCACAGGGGCAGCCTCGGCCCACAGCCACATGGTAAGCTGTACACTAAAAACTGAGAAAAATGCACTGGGTCCTAATATGCAAAAAATATAAATAGAATGGACCCAATGTGTTTTGGGTCTTAAATGATGCTGTCAGTGTTCCAGTACCATGTTCGAATCATTAGTCATAATACTCAATCTAGACCTACCTTAATTTTGTTCCATATTAAAAGATATCACTGTAATCAATGTTGATTTTAAATACTTCTGTTCGCTCTTGAAAGCTTGGAATTGAATCTTTGTTGTATATGTTTCTTTGCTTTGCTCGATGCAACAGAACAACGATATCAAATTATAAGGAAGTGAGCTTGCCACTTTCATTTATTGCAAAAAGTACAGCATGGTATTATGAACATGGAAAATACAAGTCACATTAAGTAAAAACGCAGGTAACGATACTGAAGATCTAAACGTAGCCCTATTACATGATTAACTTAATAGCATGAAATAGCGTTAAATGAAATCGTTAAGACTTGACGAATCAGCTAAATATACATTTATCGAAATTGATTGATCCCGGCCATTAAAAACCTCAAATTAATGCGGAAAAGGTACGCGATCAATCAAAGACATGTAAATGTTCCAAATCTTGGTTTAATTAATTAAAATGAACTGTCTCGTGTTACGTGTGGCAAAGCTCAGAATGAAGTTACACTCCGTTCCAACATACACTCATGCAAAACAACTCATCGTCAACTCGAACACCTGTTCCATTAACACGACGCCTAAAGAAATCATTTATGAGCTTATGTCGCTGCGCTCAAACGCACATAAATGTCAATTATAATATACATGTAGGTACAAAGATGGGGTGCAGCTAGAGGCAGGAGAAAAGTATGCTATATCAAGCCATGAAGGAACCCTCACTCTCTATGTACATGACTTGACAGGACATGATGCAGGCCAGTACACATGTCAAATCTCCAATGATCTGGGCAGTTGTAGCACAACAGGAGATCTCATAGTGCAAGGTAGACATCTAGCTTTAACTCAGAAAGAGTATGATTCTGAAAGTCATTTACATTGATCGATTCACACATTCAATGGGACAATCGCTCATTCAATCCATACAGGCTGTCATGGTACTCAAAGTTTACTTTTATTCAATGTATCATGATACTCGAAGTATAAACTCAAATTACCATTTTACTCAAAGTATAATTTTACCAATTCTATATACCTTGATAATGACTCAAGGTATTAAAGTACAAAATATACTCATGTCAATGTATCATGATGCTCAGTGTAAGCTTACACAAGACTGTTTCTTTCCAGGTGCTGGAGCGATGAGACGTAAGAGAGAATCAGAAGATCACTGGGAGAAGAGCAAGATAAAACTTCAGAAATATGATGTCCCAGATCTACCATTTGAATACACAGGGACAGCACCAGTGTTTAACCTCCCCCTAATGGGACAGACTGTAAAGGCAGGCCGTAACACTGAGTTCACAGTTTGTGGTAAGTAGGCTTGTTCCTTATAACTCATTTTGATTCATGTTTAGCTCCTTTTAAGGTACTGCACTATTTAGCTCCCTATTAAGTAATTGTATTATTCATATAGCTCTTGATAGAGATTTCAAAGTAAATTGAGTTTTTATTATGTTACCACCAGAAACGGTGACCTATTGTAGTCTCCATCTTTTTTGATGGTGTTTGGTGTTCAGTGTTTGAAATGGCCATTGGTGTTTGGCATCCGTAACAAATTCTTGTGGCATCTGTAACAAATGACAGGCAGTGACATCTTGCATGTTTATGCCTTGCGTTGTATTGAAATACATGTACATTTCAGTGACATGTACACCTGAGGCTGAACTAACCTGGTTCCATAATGGCTCCAAGATTGAGGTCAATGACAAATATGGTTTGGAGGATGTATCTGGGGTTCACACATTATACATCAAGGGCACAAGTGCAGAAGACGCAGGAGAATACAGTTGTCTTGGTCAGAACTCTTACGGCCAGGCCACCACCAGTGGTGTGCTTACTATAATAGGTAGGTGACTTTAAGGACATGCATCAGATCTTCTTTTTCATGAACAATTTTTTTCTCAAGCTTAAGTTGCATTTAATTATATGCTTGCATTCATCCTCATTTTTATGTCACCACCAAAAGTGGTGACATATTGTTATGGTCTCCGTTTTTTTGACTTTAATTTTTTTCTAAATCATCTACATGTTCTCAGAAGTTCAAATCTGACTTTAGATTTGACATTTGACCTTTAATGACCTTCTCAAGGTCAAAAAGGTCTTTTTTCAACTTGCTTCACATTGACTAAATTTTTTTTCAAAATCATCTACATGTTCTCAGAAATTCAAATCTGACTTTAGATTTGACATTTGACCTTCAAATCTGACTTTAGATTTGACATTTGACCTTCAATGACCTTCTCAAGGTCAAAAAAGGTCAAAAAGGTCTGTTTTCAACTTGCTTCAAATTGACTCAATATTTTTTTTAAAATCATCTACATGTTCTCAGAAATTCAAATCTGACTTAAGATTTGACTTAAGATTTGACATTTGACCTTCAATGACCTTCTCAATGTCAAAAAGGTCTGTTTTCAACTTGCTTCAAATTGACTAAAAAAAATTTTCAAAATCATCTACATGTTCTCAGAAATTCAAATCTGACTTTAGATTTGACTTAAGATTTGACATTTGACCTTCAATGACCTTCTCAAAGTCAAAAAAGGTCAAAAAGGTCTTTTTTCAACTTGCTTCAAATTGACTAAAATTTTTTTTCAAAATCATCTACATGTTCTCAGAATTCAAATCTCACTTTAGATTTGACATTTGACCTTGAATGACCTTCTCAAGGTCAAAAAAGGTCAAAAAGGTCTGTTTTCAACTTGCTTCAAATTGACCAAATGTTTTTTTCAAAATCATCTACATCTTTTCAGAAGTTCAAATTTGACTTTACAAGTTCTCAGAAGTTCAAATCTGACTTTAGATTTGACCTTTGACCTTCAATGACCTTCTCAAGGTCAAAAAGGTCTTTTTTAAACTTGCTTCTCATTGACTAATTTTTTTTCAAAATCATCTACATGTTCTCAGAAGTTCAAATCTGACTTTAGATTTGACATTTGAACTTCAATGACCTTTTCAAGGTCAAAAAGGTCTTTTTTCAACTTGCTTCAAATTTACTTAATTTTTTTTTCAAAATCATCTACATGTTCTCAGAAGTTCAAATCTGACTTTAGATTTGACATTTGACCTTCAATGACCTTCTCAATGTCAAAAAAAGTCAAAGAGGTATTTTTTCAACTTGCTTCAGATTGAACAATTTCTTTTTTCAAAATCATCTACAAGATCCCAGAAGCTCAAATCTTCAAAAACCTTCTTAGAGTCAAAAATTATTTTCCAACTTGCTTTAAATTGACCAAATTGTTTTAGGTGGTGACATTTTGTCATGTTAATGCCTTGCTTTTATTTTGATACAATGGGAAGAAATATGAACATGTACATACATGAAAATGTTACTGCCAAAAATAGTCACCGTGTCCAAGTCACATAAACTTTTTGAACTTTAGAAATTTATTTTAACCTTTTTGGCCTTTTCAATTGCTCATTAGAACTTGTGTTGGCAGCTTGAATGTTATTTTTTTTATTATGTATGTTGTGTTTTGTATCAAGACTTTATTATACATCAAACATAATATAAGAACTACATAGTTAATGTGTTTCTAGTAGGAAGCCAGACTTACAAGTGTCTGCTATAAGCATGGTAATCTCAGTTAAGGGTATCAGATATCTTACATGTCTTAATGACCAGAACTGAAACCAGATACATAACATCTCCCTTCTTTTAGTTTAAAAACAAGTTAAACTTTTAACAGTCATCTCATTGAAATATGATCATTACTTATTCTGAATATTTTGTAAGGGAGCTCATTTAAACTTTACAAGCCATGTAATTTGAACTATCTGACCTGTCTCATGAACTTTAGTATTCATTGATAAAATGTCCAGTGCATATGTTTGTACTACATGCTAATGAGGTTCTTGACCTAAGAGTTTACTACAGTCTTACTACAATGTTTATTTTGATATGCTAATTTGGTCTATCCTTGACCTTCATTGCAAATATGGATATTTCCATTTCACTTCCAGTCTTGGGTCTACACTATATTATTGACAGTCATTTCACACATTTTATGCTGGAATTAAATGTCTCCTATTCCTTCTAAATTGTCCTCCATCTGGGGTTTCAACTAGATATGATCTGGGCGAATCTAGTTTCTCAGTCACTGTTGCATTTCTCCAGATGTATTTATTGTTCCTTTTCTCACGGACTTTGACAGGGGTATTAGGTTGAAGAGGGGCAAGGGGACGAGCGCGGAGGTCATACTTTCTCTTCTCCATCTGCTTTTTCTGCTGAAGTTTTGTGCAAACGTTGGGATCTGGGCTTTGGGGATTCAGTAGAACACCACTGGTAGGAATTTTAGATCGCAATTTTCTACCCATAAGTAATTCTGCTGGGGATTTGTTGATCTTCGCATCAATTGGGGTGTTTCTCAAATTCAGCATGGCTGTGAAAATATCATCCGATTTTCTGATAATATTTTTTACAGTCTGTATTGTCCTTTCAATTTGGCCATTGCTATTTGCTAGATTCGGGCTTGATGTAGCAATGTCGAAGTTGTAGTCTTCGCTGAATTTTACATATTCTGATGATTGAAATGGTGGACCATTGTCACTGAATACTGTTTGGGGAATACCATTTCTGCTGAACGAGGCTTTTAGGCAATTTATTATGGGTTTTGCCTTGGTGCTGGTGAGTGAGTACAGCTCAGGGTACTTGCTGTAGTAGTCTACTCCAATTAGGTAATCCTTGTTATTATGTGAGAATAGGTCAACACCTATCTTTTCCCAGGGGCGCATAGGAACCTTATGTGGAATCATAGGTTCTCTTTGATTGGCATTTCTGTGGGTTTTGCAAATGTCACAGTTTTTTATCATATCCTCGATCTGGGAATTCATGTTGGGCCAAAAGAGTGTCTCTCTTGCTATGGATTTTGTTTTAACGATTCCCATATGGTTTTCATGGATAAGCGACTTTACTTCGTCTCTCATTGATGTGGGAATTACCAGTTTCAGGCCTTTGAACACGAGACCATCAACTGTACTAAGTTCATCATGAAAGGTGTAATATGGCATGACTGACTCATGTATATCAGTCTTTTCAGGCCATCCAATTCTGCAATATTCCATAATGCGTTGCAGTACAGGGTCATTCGAGGTCGCGTTCCTGTACTCTTGCTGTTTTGGTTTAGACATGGGTAAAGCTTGAAGTAATCCATCTGCTTGTTGATCAATGTCGTTCATGATAGAAGCAATAATTTTCGAGCTTTCTGTGTCACTGTCTACGCATGCTCTGCTGAGAGTGTCTGATATAACCATGTCTTTTCCAGGTTTCCACTTGATTGTGACATCGTACTTTTGCATTTGCAAAAGCATTCTTTGTAATCGAGCTGGGGCTTTATTTAGAGCTTTCTTTGCGATCACCTCCAGGGGCTTGTGATCAGTTTCCACGACAAAGGGCTTACCATAGAGGTATTGGTGAAACTTAGTTGCTCCAAAACATATACTCGTCATCTCTTTCTCTATTTGGGAGTAGTTTTGTTGGGCAGGGGTTAGCGATTTTGACGCGTAGCATACAGGCATATCATCCTGTAGTAGGACAGCTCCAAGACCATCTTTCGAAGAGTCTACATTCAGCACTGATGGCTTATTGGGGTCATAAAACTTGAGAACTGGCGCTGTAGTTATAAGCTTTTTCAGCTGCTCATAGGCTTCTATCTGTGGCTTATTCCATTCGAAAATAATATCCTCTTTCAGTAGTTCTCGCAAGGGAGCATTTAGCTCTGATAAGCGTGGTACGAACTTGGCAACATAATTCACCATGCCAAGGAATCGACTCAGTGATTGTTTATCTGTAGGGGTTTTCATCTCAACTATCGCTTTTATCCGATCACCCGGGATACTCAGTCCATCTCTCGACCATGTATGTCCTACATATGTGACTGATGGCACATTAAACTGGCATTTCTTCCTGTTAAACTTGAGGTTGTTCTCACTTGCTCTTTGGAACACTGCTTCCATTCGATGCTTAAGCTGTTCTTCATCTTTGCCAGAAATCAATATATCATCCACTTGGACTTCAACGCCATCTATTCCTTCTAGGACTTTACAAACTTCCATCTGGAACTTTTCAGTAGATATGTTTAGTCCATATGGCAGACGTGTAAATCGATATCGTCCAAAGGGTGTGTTGAAGCAAGTAAGCAACGAACTCTCGTGATCAAGTTCAAGTTGCCAAAATGAGGTTGTCGCATCCAATTTGGTAAACCTCGTAGCACCTTTCAATCTTGTGCTGATCTCTTCTGTTGTGGCCGTAGGGTACGGTTCCCTTTTAATAACTTTGTTGAGGTTTGCAGGATCAAGGCATATCCTAAGAGATTTGTCGCTCTTCTCAACCAAAACTATATTATTCACCCAATCAGTGGGCTCATCCACTTTGGCAATTACTCCTTGTTTTTGCATTCGCTCTAATTCAGTTTTCAATTTGTCTCTCTGATGAACAGCTACCTTGTAAGGGGGGTGTACCACAGGCGTGACATTTTCTTCAAGGGTAATGTGCACTTTGCTAGGCAGACAGCCTAGGCCTTCAAATATGTAGCTGTAATTAGATACCAACTGGTCTGTGGTCAGTGTGCTGTCAGAGCCAACTGTAGAAATGTTACTTCTGGAAACTAAGCCAAAGAGAATAGCTGATTGCAGACTAATTAAAGTGTCAGCTTTCTCCTTAATGACTATGAATTTCACTTTGTAGTTTATCCCTTTGAAGTAACAAGACATATGACATTCACCTATGACGTCCAGGGGCTGCCTGTTGTAGGTAAATAGCCTTGTGGTAGAAGCTTTCATAGGGGGGTGTCTTAACCTCTTGAATAGTCCATGTGAGATCACATTGGCCTGGGCACCTGTGTCCACCTTAGCAGTAAGGGTGTGCCCACCTGTTTTTAGTCGTATAATCCAGGATTTGGAGTTGGGTATATCTGGGGTTTTGGCGGGAATCTGGGCTATCTTTGATGTCTGGGTGTCTGGGATTTCAGTGGTTACAGATCCCAAGTACACTTCATCTTCTGAAGATACTGATTCCTCCACCTGGTTCACTTTTCGGGGGTTTCTACGTTTTCCAAATTTGCCTTGCCTCCGTTGTCTAGAGTCCTTTTCACTAGATTTCCCACTACGGCAACATCTTTTAAAATGCCCGAATTTTAAACATCCGTTACACTGCTCATTAGCCGCAGGACACGTGCCTCCTTTATGTATCAGTCCACAGTTGTCACACCTTTGTGACTGCGACTTCTTTACAATACTGACTTCCTCATGTCCACTTTCTGTGCGGGAATTTAGAGAGTTCTTATGGACGTTACTCTGCTCATATAAGCGTGCTATCTTTAGAGCATGGTCTAATGTGAGGTCCTCCTCGTATCTTAGTAGCTTCTCTTGGACTTGTGTTGAATGGCAATGTGTCAATATCATGTCAGCGATCATCTCGTCAAGATCGGGGAATTTACAGTCTCTGCCAATAAGTCTAAGTTTTGTAACAAACTCGTCAATAGACTCATCCTTCAACTGGTAGCATTCATAGAACATTTTCCTCTGGATCGACCTGTTTTTCTTGGGTGTACAATATTCCTCAAATTTATCAAGGATGGTTTTAGACTCCTTCTTTTGTGATTCCGAAAGTACCCCAGTGGCAATCCACGATCTGCAAACGTCCCTTCCTTTCTCGCCGATGAGAAGGAGAATTTGAGCGGCTTTCTCTTGCTCTTTCCATTTTGTGGCATCAGGAGAATCAAACATTAATTCAATAAGTTCTCTCCATCTCTTCCAATCTTCTGAGAGATTAGGGCCATAAAAGTCTAATTCCTTCACTATCTTTGAGTATCCACTTGCCATTGTTATTGTCTCTGATCTACTTATTCATGTGAGACCACATCTGACACCATGTTGTGTTTTGTATCAAGACTTTATTATACATCAAACATAATATAAGAACTACATAGTTAATGTGTTTCTAGTAGGAAGCCAGACTTACAAGTGTCTGCTATAAGCATGGTAATCTCAGTTAAGGGTATCAGATATCTTACATGTCTTAATGACCAGAACTGAAACCAGATACATAACAATGTACATTGTAGTGATTCGATTAAATATCATTATGATAACATTTTGTGTGTCAAAAAGTTCCAAACCCATTATGAAACATACTTGCCCCAAATCTACATCTCGAAAATAACTAACAAGAAATGATCTACATTGCTACAAAATATAAATAAGATAAAATAATGAGTGGCCATGTATATATTGCAGAGGAAGTAGCAGATCACCATATACACCCTGAGTTCAGCACTAGGTTACATCGGATGCACATCTCAGAGGGTCAAGAGGCAAGATTTGAATGCCACATCTCTGGGGAACCAACCCCAGTTGTGCACTGGTATGTGGGTTTGTTATATGCATGATAACTGTAAGTCTTGGAACAGCCACCTGGATAACACTCACATGGGGTTAGAGGAGAAATAGATACAAGGGGAAAGTGGCTTCATCCAAAAATGATTGGGACATCCACTCGTCTGTTTGTCAGTCCATCTGTCTATCCATCATTTTTATGGGGAGACCAACTTGGGGATGCTTTCCCATCAGAACAGTTTAATTGTTCCAGACTACAACATAACATATTCCTCTATTCTCTATCTGAGAGGGTCACTGATATGGAAATGAGGTTCTTAAGTCAGATATTGTTTAAAGTAGGTGGTATAGAAGCCAGGTACCATCAATCCCTGAGACACTCTTGTGTGTTGTAGATAGTAATATTTAATAAACAACAAAAGCTTGCCTTGAACTTAATGACCTGTTTTATATTGATACATTTATAGCACATAAATATTATTGTTTATACTATATTGAGTGCAATTGTTTGATAGTAATGCACTTGTTTGTTAAATTGCAGGTACAAAGATCGCAAGCTAATACACGATGGTCATCATTATAACATATCTTTTGATGCTGATACACAGTGCCACCTATTGGTCATTGAGGAAGCGATGTATGAGGATAATGGCTGGTTTATGTGCCGTGCATCAAATGAGGCGGGCACGGAAAGTTCCGAAGCTAGGCTAACAGTAGATTTCCCAGGTGAAGAAATTACCCTGAGCCTATCAGTCCCTTGTCCATATATCTTACCCTGGAAGGGTGTGCCATAATATAATTTAGTTTTTGACTTACTCTGATAGTTTGGGCGGAGGCAAGTTTGTCACCGATAAAACACTTGACTCAGCTAAATGACAATGTTTTTTTAAATACTTTGGAACGAGCCAGTTCTCGAGTTTATCTCATTGTGCCACTTACGGAATTATTATAAAGAGATTACAAGATATTATATGAGATTTCAAATGATTAATCTGACTGTCTAAACACAGTTCTGATAAATAGCTTTATTTAGATTTTCAAGTGTTGTCCAATTCATAACACTGGAGAAAGGTGTATTTATGAGTGGCCCAACTACATGTATTATTCTTAATACATCTTATATTTACTATAATATGGACAGTTTACAAGTGTCATCAGTGCAAGTGAATTATTATTATAGAGGATTGCCTTTGTAAGTTACATAATTAGTAATTTAAAGGAATAGTGAGAAATGTCCGCGATGAAACCTAGAGGTCAAGAACTCTATAACTTTTTAAATTTCATTTTGGAACATTATTAGTTATTACTAATTGATAATCATTGGTTTTACTGGATATAAATACAAAATGTGATTTTCAAGTTGAAATTACTAATAAATGTATGCTGAATTTGAAAGAAAAGTACTGATGGCAGATGCTTTTTAAATTATGGATATGATTATACATGTGCAGGAGATAAATAACAAGATGTAAATGTGTCTTTAGGTTCTGAATGGACTGAAAGATTCTACAGCAGGAGATGCTCTGATACAACTTCTCAAAGTAGCTTAGATAGGATCAGCTTCAGCAATCATAGCAGGTCTCAGTTTCACTATGCCACCTGTCCCACCTTCACAACCAAACTACGGAGCAAGCGCGTTGAGGTTGGGATGAGCGTGACATTGAGTTGTTCAGCAACTGGAACACCGATGCCATCTATTCGGTGGTTCAAGGATGGTGAAATGATTACTACTGGAGGAAGATTTATTGTAAAGGTAAGGTGTTAATATTAACTCATTTATTGGGGTGTTGAGTCTTTCTCCTCGGCTAGATTTTTTCAAGCCTTGACCTTTTGTACCTCTAAGGAAAGGGATTGCAAGGCCTGAAATATAGGTCAAGACCACAAATTATTTAAAACATATTGTCATACTGTTATCAATACTATTGATAATATTGCTGATAGGTTTTTTCACTGTCACATACTCTATTGATATATTGAACTTCCTATCATATGGTTGAAAATTAACTTTTGAAACTTTGACATTGAAAGTAGTTGGTATCCAATACATAAATCATACTAAAATAGATAGCGTTAAATCAGTTGGACTTTTTTCATTCATGATATTTTGCAATATCTTTTTATTGGATTTTATAACTACCACCATGGGCTTTTAACAAGAGAATTCCCATTGACTACAAAAAGAGGGTATCCTTCAAAATCAGTGTGTAAAGAGCAGATTTTGGAAGGGAGGTGTTTAGCCAACCTGTGGATGACCAAAATGTTGGGACAAAATTGCTGCCCAGTATTTGAAAACAATAATATCCTCTGTCCCCCCTGGTTATTTCCCGATTTCATGTAATGTGTTAATTAGATAAATTAAATATGATTTTTTTGATAATATGGACCCAAAAGTAAACATAACATAAATGTATCAATCGTAAAACTCTTTTCACATGTATACACAAGAGTTCTACCTATGTAGTTCACCTTTGAAACAATCAATTGACAATTATTTCAACAATCAATTTAGAATGTAGTGTTAAAATAAATTGATTAAGTAGCTATATCTCTTCAATGGTACTATGCAACTTGATACAACTTGACTCTGTAAACATTCAACAGTTAGAAAGAGATGTGTAAGCCCTTCATAGACATTTCATTGTCTAGTTGTGTTTTGGTCCAACTTGGACAAGGAGGGAGGAGACATTTTCAAATTTTATTGAAGTGAAGCACTGTATTAGTCTAATTCAATATATTACAAGGGTCTTTCGATCATTGAATGCTTTCACTAAACTCTATATTTTGACCTGACCCCTTAACAATCAAAACAGCACAATTTCAACATCAAAGAGTTTATTCTATTTGATCTTGAAATTTGTAGTCAGTGTACGTGTATACATGGACTTGCAGTATTATACATGTTCTTGAAACATGAAAAATGTCACACAACTTTATTATTCCTTGAGATTTATAGATTCTGTAGTATAACAATACAGCAAATACATGCAAATGCGATACAAAACAATTGCATTTCATGAATCTTAATATATGAAATGTGCTTAAGTATATACATAAGTATAGCATTTTGAAATTGATTGATCTGAATATTTTGTCAAGATGTTATTAAGGAGCTTTCAAAACGATGTTATATTAAAGTTAAGTGTTGTCTCTACCATGTTCACATATCTCAGTCGTTGGAATGGAGGTGTCATCATGCGCAAAAAGGAATTCCGATCGACGGAACATTCATTTGAACAAGCATTGAGAAGTCTAAGTAAACAATAAGAAAGTGTGAATGTTAGGGTGACCCACCCGATGTTGAGATAACAGATGTCGGCGTCATATAAAATAACTGTAAATTAGAGATAATTGACACTCATGGAGATTGTGTAATTATATATATGGTCGTCTTGAATTTATAAAATCATAAAAAATTAATTTTGGATAATAGAGATATGAATGGAGTTCCAGTTTTCAATAGGTAATATTCTGTTAAGTGTTAATAGATAGTTTTGAAGAAGTTAGTGACGCATTTTGGTTAGATTTATGCTAAGATTTATGAAGCGACCTTTAATTGAGATAACAGTCGAGAATATATATTGCAATAGTTAGACACTAGTCTTAATCACCAATATGCCTAAGGCTAACCGTAAACTTAAAAAATTGTACTCAGATTCAGTTATTCTTGCTACCGATGAAACACCGGGAGACCTTGGCGAAATACTTACATATTTGTCAGTGATTACATCGAAACTATTGAGATTTGAAAGTAGATTGGAAAAATTGAATCACTTGGAGGCAACAAAAAGTATTTTAGTTGCATCATCTGGAGTTTCTTGCAACACATCATCCCTTAGCAGAGGTCAGGTTCAAGATGCTGTCTCTTTGATAACATTAATGAAAAAGGATATCGAAGAAACAGATGGAAAAATATCAAAGTTAGAGTTCAAAATTCGTGATCTCGAAACGGAAAGAAGAGCAAGTTTAACAAAGCAAAATATTCAATTCATTTTGGACAAAACTGAATTTGAAACCTTAAGGAAGGAAAATCAAACACTTAAGGAAGACAATGAGTTTCAGGAAATTGAAATCAGTAGTCTGAGAAAAAGTATAGAAGCCATTGAAGCTTCCCTTCAAAGGAGAAACAGCCAGCTTTTAAAGCTACAATCACATGTCAAAGTCCTGGAATCTGAATTAGAGGCTAAAGAAACTGAAGTAATATTCCTTCAGGATGATGCTACCAATCTGCGACATAAATGTGAAGCTCAGTTGGGAACAGCCCAGACCTTACATGCTGTAAACAAGGAGCTGAAAATACAACTACAAAACAAGGAAAGAGAACTAGAATCGTACATCCATGAATTTGAAGAAATGGAAAAGTACTACAATTTAGAGGTGGATGAGTTGAATAAACTCACTGATGAACTAGATGTTGAACTGGAGAAAAAGAATATTGAGATTGGACATATGAGAAATGAACTGAAGTCTGCAAAAATGTCAAAATCAATGAATTATTTTCAGTCAGTATTGGAGGATTCAGGAGATTGTTCGGAAAAAAGTCTAAAGGATTTAAAGGATTGTAGATCCAATGATTTGGACAAAGTTGTTTCCATGATGATTGAGGGTGAGTCTTGTCATTTTCCTGTTGATAATGTTAACAGTAACAAAGTAGACTATGATAATAATAACACTACTGCCAATAATGTAGACATGAGAGATGATGATCCGAAAGAGGGGCTGCCCATAGCACAAGTTAATAATGCTGATGTCTTATCAAGTGAGACAGATCAAATAGAGTCAACATTCACAATATCATTTACTGCCTCTACACAAGATGTTGATGAAGATGATCCTGATGCTGATAGTGCTCAGAGCAATGCTCCTGACAAAGTTGATGATGACAAAGCTAACAAGGCTGCAGCATTTACTGTACAATGGGATGCCACAACACAGGATGATGACAATGATAACACATTTGTAGTTAACATGAACTCTGGTCATGTTGACGGTGATGAAATGTGTCACGCCAGTGATGAGAGTAACTCTGGTGAAGTAACTTTTACATTTAATTTTGAAATTCCTAATCAGGAAGAAGTAACAGGCAATGCAGAAGGAAATGATGGAAAAGTGAATTGTGATGCCAGTCTGAATGAGTCTAATGAAGTTACATTCACATTGAACATTGATGCTCCTAGTCAGGAAGAAATAGAAGATGAGGAAGATAATGATGATGACAATGATGTGTTCTTTGATATCAATGACCCCAAGTATGATTACTCCAGTGAGTTCAGTGGCTATGATGATGATGGTGTACTCTGGACTCCTAACATCTACAGAGTACACAGGTCTTCCTATGCCATGTCTAGTAATTGGGGCTCAATTTCTGACCTCAATACAATTACAGAGGAGGGCCATGACACAGTTGCCACTACGCCAAATGCCAACCCCAGTAAAAGTGATAGCTCAGATCAGCTCTGTGGGTTTTCTATGAATGAAAGCATTAATGAAGCTGATGAATCAGAAGATGAAACAGGAAGGTCAACACCCAAAGAAGATGTTGGATGTGTTAAACTTGAGATCAGCACATCAATTGAGTCCTTGGATATTGGAATAGTTGTAAAATCTGAGGGAATGGAAAAGGATGAAGAAGAGGCCCCCTATATTCCCCTTAAAAGAGCCTCTAAGGAGGGTAACTTTGATAATCTATCCAATGAGAACAATGTTCAAAATAATGATACACCGGAGGTAGAGGGACTAATCAATGAAGGAAAGAGGGATGAACACTCAACATTGAGGAAAATAAAGCCAGTGGATAACCTTGCTGCAGGGGATGACCTAATTGAACTGGTAACACTCCCACATGATGTCACTCCAAATACATCTAGAAAAAGGAAACGGGGTAGCATCATATCTCCAGATGTTGAAACAGTTGATCTGAAGGATCTTATAGAGGATTTTAATAAGAGGATTTCAAGAGAGGAAGAAGGTGATGAGAGAACAAGAGGACTTAGTGGTAATCTCGTATGGGATATTGAAGAGGAAAGTGGGGTGGATAGCACATTTGAAAAAGATAATGAAAGCAAAGAGAACCTAACCTCAGGAATAGATGATGATAGTGTAGATTCACCTAGAGAAATTGTAAAATTCTTCATACAAGAGAAGGATGAAGAAAGTGATTTGGATAGCACTGTACAGAAAGATAATAAAATCAAAGAGAATGTAGCATCTGGAACAGAAGACAGTAGTACAGATTCACCAAAAGTAGATGTAAAGTTCTTTTTACAAGATGAGGAAGATTCTGATGAATCTGTAGCTGAAACGTTCTATGTGAAAACTCAGCCCTTCACAGACAATAATGCAATAGAAAGTGGTAACACACATACCATCCTGGACACATGCACGGATGATGAAGTATTCGCACACTCAGACAGTAGTTATGTTGAAGAGGGCAAGCATCAGACTAGTCCATATGGAAAGTGGAAACAACGTAAGGTCTCAGTATCAAGGAGGCTGGATTACTTGAGTCCACAGGAGTATGAGTTCACGAAGAAAATAGAGACATTTATTGATAAATTTGGAAATAAAGTAGAAAATAAAAATGTTGCACCAGAGAGGCGTATAAGTCTTGTCATTGGACATGATCATTTTACATATGATACAAGACACCAGCCTAAACAAGAGGAAGTAAAAGTACCCAAACCTGGGCACTTAGTACTGCATAGAGAAATAAGACAGGTAAGTGGTTCGTTCCCTTACATTCAAAATAAGATATTTTTGTGCTTCGTAGTCTATTTTGTTGCATTTATTTTGACAGGATTACCTCAAGTGGTAAGTCAAATCCTGTCTGGCCCCTTATGTTCTCCACCTCTATGATGCAACAGAGAGGGAGGGAGGGAGGGAGGGAGGGAGGCCAAAGGAATGTGTGTGAGAGAGATGCTATGAATATTACCCTGGGATTCCCTTAATATACTACCACTTTTATGATTGTGAGAAATAATTGTTGAAAATTAAATTTTAATCGATTCTATTTATGAAGATGAAGTGTATTCAAACATATATTGAGATGACATTTTTTACGATTATATTTTTATCTCAAGGTCATCCAAATATAGTGATCCAATTATGTTCTTTAGTGACATGATTGAGGACCATTCTATTATCTTAACATGTGTTTTAACCATCTAGCTATGAACCTTTCAAAAGAAAACAATTAGGAAATTATAACTACAATGCATGTATTAAGCAACAAAATCCATGTATAACAATTGTTTTCTGTGGGTACTTTCATTCAATGGTTTGTGAATTTGAGAAAAAATTAACTTCTGTTACAAGGTTAATATAAATTTAATAGCCCTTACAGGTGATTTTTATGGTTTAAAATAATAGGGTTAAAGTTTGACAATGATGACTGGACTATGAATTAGATATGATATGTATGTAAAACAATACACACCTATAAAAAATAATATAGCTGAATGTATAGGAAGATAGAGAGTTATATTATGGATTATCGAACTACCATATATCTATTTTGACTTTTGGGATATGTTTTAAGGTAGACCTTCAAAGAGAGAGATTTTTAGAATTGTAGTTATACCTCGCCATGTTCAAAATGGGTATATTACCTTATCTTTGTAAAGTATCCTTGTTACATCTTTCAAATGAGAAGTTAATATAATATTGGGGAAATGTTGTTCAGAAACTTGGAGAAGGATTTTGGAATATCGAAAATCTGATTTTTTAAATTTAGATATCTGTTTTTCCTGGAGTTGGCATTTTAACCTTTGATCAGATTTTCAAAAAGTGGATGATGTAATGATACTTTCCCAAAAAGTACTTTGCTTTATTTTGAACCAGGAAATAACATGGCTGGGTATAGCAATTCTTTATAAAATGTGAATTAGGACATTAGCCTTGTGCAGAAAATGGTTTTCACAAAGTATGTTATGGTAAGTCCATTGTTATTTTGAAAATTGATTTAATGAATGGAATTTAATGGGAAGTGACATTGCTTCAGATTTAATAATGCATAATCCATGTAAATACATGTAAGGTTGATTGCTAAATAGCATGTGCTATAATCTGATCATGTGACTTTAATGTATGTAAACATACCTGTAGAAATGTACACAAAGGTCACAGGTTACTGTACATTAGCCACCTTGAGGAATGGCCATAAAGTTTAAATCAAATATTGTATTCCTACTGGATTTTTATACAACATGGAGAGTGAGAAGGAGAGAAGCTTCCATTATAAGATATTCAGGAAGTATTGTAGAAGTGAAAGACAGGTAAGTACATTGGAGATAAGTGTAGATACAGTGCCACCTGCAAATAAGATGTACCTGTACTTGTATTAGCTGTGAGGATTTCCGATGTTAAAAATCTTAGAATTTACAAGTAGAGGCCTTTTTGACACATAACTGTGACATCAGTAGTTGAGAGTACACATGTAAATCACAGATCTATCACAGCTGATCACATTATTTTCATTTCATAAAACGGATTAAAATTGACACAATGGATGCTAGAAAGAAAAATGAACTTCCTAATTAATTAATGATCTATATGTAATACAGGCTACCTGACTGGAGAGATAAGCTGGTTTCAAGTTTTCAAATCAGTGTATTCCTTCGTGAGACCTTTGATCAGTCAACATGTCTATAAATTAGTCATGGAAAAATCTGAGAGTCTAATATCAGTGTTAGATTTGATGATAGGATATCCATGTCAACATTTTTTCTCAAATGTAAAAAATCATAATTTTTCATTTTAAGAACGGTGTATTTTTAAATCTAGAACCTTGTAACTCAGTTATTGAGGCTCTTAACAATATACAATTTTGATGCTTACTTAAGGTCTTAATAACTCCAAAAGTAGGTTTTTGATGCTTATATAAGGAGCTATAAGGCCTTAATAACTCCAAATGGGAGTTTGCAATGGAATATATGCCAGCTATTATTTACCTGTACTGGGTTTTAGGGGAAATATTAGGGGGTAGGATATCCAGTGAATATGTTATTTGTCTAATTTCATGTTTGTCTTTTGCAAAAGTTAAAGTATTCACATAACATCACAAATATCAAGTGTCTCCAAATTGCTACTCTGAGTGTTATTTTTAAATCTTGTTATTTTTATTTTATACATTGTTGTTATTTTTAGATTATATTGTCATTTTTAGTAAGAATGATTCAGTCATAGGTTTAGTATTTGTAGGTATCCTGTTTCCTAATTGATAGGGTGGTATTCTGTCCAATGGATCTATGAATAACAATGTCATACTTTGTACAGATTAAAACATTTCATGGATCATGATGTAATATATAGTTTGCACAAAAACAAGAATGAAAACCTCCATTGTTAAGTTCACAAGTGAGTCAAAACTTTAGGTTGCTCTTCAAGTAATTGATTGTCACAATAAAATGATAAAGTTGTAATAGTTAACACTGCCCTATAGCCAACAGTCAATTCCGAGACACTGCATGGGAGTTTTTTTGTTTTAAACTTATTAACTATTTTATTGGTTATGTCCTGTCCCATCCCGAAATGGATAATTCCCATCCCGTCCCGTCCCAAAATATTTTTGTCCCATGACATCCCTAGCCAACACCAAAGAAGGGTGATCAACATATTAAATGTCATGGTCTTATCTATTGAGGAAGCACAAAATGCAACATAAAAAGGAAATCAATTGAGAATTATAATATCTGTATAGGTTATAGGTAGTATATTGCTATATGATGAGCCCAAGTGATATCCCCTATTTAGAGGTTATACCTAGGGGACAAAAGTGTATCTAGTTTATCCAGTTGGATGATCCTGAGGAACATATCAGTAGTTTATTAATATGCATGTACATGAAGCAAATTGTTAATGTTAATTTAATTGTTAAATTGTTTGTACTAATGCTAATATACTGTAATCTGATTCCAGAACAAGTATGGCCTGTTGTCACTAGAGATCAGCCCAGTGAAGAAGGTAGATACAGGCCACTATACTGTCACTGCACACAATAGTGAGGGAGAAGCCACATGTACAGCTGAAATAGATGTTGATGGTTAGCAACCTTTCTCTATTCTGTTATTAAATCCCCTGTTCTTTGTTCATTGAAAAACTGATGAATTTGTATAAATGATGTCATATTAATAGCTTGGTGATTACAATAAAGGCACGTGAAAATTCAGAGGGAGCTGTCAAGTCAAACACTACAATGAGTCCCGAAATGGGTCGGGCAAGTCAAAAGCTTAGTGGGTGATTACAATAGATTACCCCATGCTAGCTAAAAAGGATATTTGTGATGGCATTCAAGTTCAAATATTCAAGAATTTAGAGCTATTGCTCCTTTTTTCAGATTTTATACCTTGTACCTTAGCTTTACAAAACCAGGAATTTTGTACCCCTCCCCTGCATGATTACTAAAAGAATGCTGAAAAAATAAAAGTTCTATAATATTGAGCATGTTTGTTGATTGCAGACAGCAAAGTTGTTGATGAATGTGACTATGAAAGACCAGAGTTCCTATCCAGGATACGTCATACTATCGCAGATGAGGGCACCCGGGCTGTCTTTGAGTGCCAAGTTATTGGACACCCAATGCCTGATTTTACATGGCAAAGGGATACTTTTGAACTCTTTCCTGATGAGAATTTACAAATGACCTCTAATCCCCGTGGTTACGCCAAACTTGTTGTACGTGAGTGTGCTAGTACTGATGCCGGCATGTACTCTTGTATTGCTCATAGTATTGCAGGTCGGACAAAATGTTCAGCATCCCTTAGAGTTCTTGGTAAGAATTTTTGCCTATTCTATAACATTTACAATTGCATTAAGTGTATAATTCACAAAGTATGTAAAAAAGTTAGAGGTTAATTATGGATAACAAAGCATTGAGTAATGATTGACCTAATGTTCATACATTTTGTATATTTAGTATTATTCTCAAACTCAAGTTATCTCTGTTAGACTATCTCGCTTTGTTGATGAAAAAGTTGGCACAAAACACATTGTTGTTTCATCCCAAATTATTTTTGTTTCTCATTTTGGTTAGCAAAATTGCATGAAATTACTTAGATGGACTATTTCTTCTACTAATCATCAATTATCTGCTTTTTTGTAGAGAAATCAGGCTACACAGGTAAAGGAATGGTAATGAAAGGCAATCGGGAATCTCTAAGCTTTTCCAGACGTCCTCTGGACTCCAGCTATTCTAGTCACTCTTACAGTAATAGATCCCATGAATCCACCCCCGAGCGAAATGACACCACAGCACGAACACACAGATCCACTGAATCTACCCCCGAGCGAAATGACATCACAGCACGAACCCACAGATCCACTGAATCTTCCCCCGAGCATATGGACGTCACAAGACCATTACGGGAAATACAACACAGCAATCTCAGTCATCAAAACTATGAAATGAAATCTGAATCACAAAAACCTACTGCGCCAATGTTTGCTCAAATGTTACCAGAGACTTTCGAGGCTAAGGAAGGAGAGAATGTTATGCTTAGTGTTCGTATACATGGTGACCCACTTCCTTCAGGTAATGCTTATAACCAGTGGTTGACATTCCCTAGTCAATCTAGCCCTGGGTCTAGTATAAGGAACCCCCTCCCAAGACAGGTGTATGCAATTGAGGGCCAGGCGCTACTTCTAAGTGTAAGGGTCCTTGGGGGACCTTATCACAAAGGTGAGTCAATGTAAATTCACTTGTCTTTTTATATTACAATACTTGACATTTGATATTACATTATTTTATCATTTTTCATTTCGTTATGACAGTCCACAAATGCAAAGCATACAATTTACAGTGCAGTATTTGTCAGTTTACATGTATATTCCAATATTTGTCCGTTTATATTGCAATATTTGTCAGTTTTCAATCCAGGATACAAATACAAAATATGAGGTTTTACATTGCAATATTTGTCTGTGTACATTGAAATGCTTGTCAGTTTACATTGCAATATTTATCGGTGTAAATTGTAATAGTTTTCAGTTTATATTGCAATATTTGTCAGTTTATTGCAAAACTTGCCAAATCTTGTCATCCATGTTACATTATATGACAGTTAACAATATAATACAACAGATTGATAACAGTGAATATATACATCTCTCTTTTACATCACAATACTTGTCTGTTTTCATCACAATATTCTGCCTCTAACACAGCTGTCTCTATTCAACATGCTCATGATCATGTATACAGGTACAGCATATCTATTTGAATTCTTAAAAAAATCTTTTAACAACTACACTATTTATGAACTATATAATAATAGGCCTATACTTCTAATACTAACCTGCAGTCTAATACACAGACTCATTAAATCCATAATGAGACTACTGTATACTGGCAATATTTCTGGTAATGTGCAACAGACTGAGTCACTCAGGTAACATCTTAGTCTTGCATCATACCCCAATTTCTACATGCCCCACCACCCTGTGTTATATAGAGAGAATGAGGAGGTGTGGCAAAACAGGAACTTGATGCAAGACATATTTCTCTCAGCTAACATCACTTAATCTTTTGTAAAGGGCTGTACTAGGGATCAAGGTAAACAATAAATATTCTTTTCTTTTCCATCTCTATTATCTTTTTGTATAACTTAATAATTTTAATGAATATTCATTTTCATCTATTTTCACTTTTATCTAACTCATGCTGTATAAAAGATTGACTTATCTACAGATGTTCTAGAGAATTAAATATATATTATAGCACTGCATTACATTGATTTATTGACTTTATAATATGTTGACTGAACTATTACATTGACTATAAATATTGCATACTGACTGTATTGAACAAAAATTAGATTGACTGTGTTAGTTATGACTCCATTATTGAGTGTTTGATTGTATTGACTTTATATTGAATGCATTGACTCCTACGTTTTATTAGAATTTATTCATTTATTGACTATTATTGTATTGACTCTATAATGAATGTATTATTATATTGACTATAAAGTGAATGAAATATTATATTGACAACATTTTGACCAAATTGTATTGATTGTATTATTATATTGACTTTATCATATTGACTATATAATGAATGTATTATTATATTGACTATAAAGTGAATGTAATATTATACTGACGATATATTGACCATATTGTATTGACTGTATTATTATATTGACTTTATCATATTGACTATATAATGAATGTATTATTATATTGACTGTGTAGTGAATGTAATATTATATTGACAATATATTGACCATATTGTATTGACTGTATTATTCTGTTGACTGTATCATCATTTTTGACTTCATCATCATTTTTATTGACTATATATTGACTATCATAGTAATGACGATTTGTTACATTGTACAGGGTGTTTCATAATGACCATAATATATTGACTATATTTTGAATATAATTGCATTTCTAGTAACATGGCATAAAGGTGCTAGAGATCTACAATTTAGCAGTAGGCACAGAATTTTTCATGAAGGTGACACCCACCGCCTGCAGATAGATGAATGCCTAGTTACCGATGCTGGGCAATATACTGCCATGGCAACAGGACCAGATGGTGACCAGCAGGAAACTACTGCCCATGTACATATCACTGCCCATCCTGCACACTCACAGTAAGTACTATGTCCTTATGATATACCAACATGAGAGCACATACCCCTAGACAGTCATTGGACAATTTACACTCAACTCCAAAAGAATGGTTACACCTACTCCCCATTAGATGTTTTTTCTTTCCCCAGTTACAATTGCCAAATATAAACAATGGGGAGAAGTTCAGGTTTCCAAACTTTTGGAAGATACATATCGTAATTTTGAGATAGATATCTAGAATGTAAATTATTAGGCATTCATAGGAATCAACCAATCTACCATTTATACTTGGACTTATACTTACCATTTTTGCAAAAGGATATGTGTAAATGTAATGTGACTACATACTGTAATGTCATTTTGAACTTTTATTGCAGAGATGAGATATTGTATGTTCCACATCTGAATGGCGATACAGGAGACCATGATCATGTGCATCAACACTCACTTGATCATCAATGTAAGTAAATTCAGCATATCATTTCATACATTTATTATTAAATCATAGTGTTTTTGACAGGATGATTTGTATTTTTAGATCAAAGGCTTTTGTCGGAAGTTTGTCACTTTTTTATTTTAAGGATAATAGGTTTAAATTCCCAAATGTTAATGCATGAAGTTTTAGATGTACATACATGTACTCCCAATTGATATCTTCTCTAGCTGTCACACTCACGTTCCTCAAAATTGAAATGTTTACGATTTTTTAAAACTCAGTCCAAGACACAGCCACAAGAATTGATTCATTAGATGGTGGCACTTTTTCAAAAATTAGATGACACTTATTTATTATAAGATGATACCAGTTCATTGATTTACAATATGGGGCAATTTTCTGAAAGTTGTTTCTTGTTGCTACTGCTTTTGGATATAAAATGGATCTATGATTAGCCTAAAATTGTAATTCTGCATGTGGTGTGGTGTTAAACAATCCTCCTGTTATCACACCAAGGATGAATGGTGCAAGTCTGGAGGGATGGCATAGAAAGTACCAGCTTGGAAATGTTAACTTAAGAATTGACTGTAAAAATGGGCTTACTTTTGTAGCCTATCCATATGTGTCATATGGACTTCTGACCTACTTTAATAGTGAATAACGGACCATTTTCACACCCATTTCGATTGGACAAACTTTCCCATGCTGCACCCTCCTTGCATGCACCATTCACCCAAGGTGTAACAGTTATTTGGGGATTTGTGTTCAGTTTTTAAGAGCTTATTTCTTTTCATTTCAGCCAACAGAAAATAAAGACTTTCAATATAACACTCTTTTCTAATTTAGTTTAACAAAAATTAACAATGTGTGTTTAATTATTTATACCTTTGTACTATTTCATTCTTATACAATTTTCTTATATTTTTTTTTCTTGTATATACGAGGAGTGATCAATAAGTTATAGACGCTTTAAAAACAATTATCCATTTTAGGTTCTTTTTAATATTTTACAACCATGGACTATATTCTCTGCTTTTTAGCCTTACAATACAAAAAGAGAGGTACATTTTTTTATTTGTAGCACAGCAAATTAGATACCATTTTCAAGCATTTCATTTTGCATCTTAAGAAAGAACTTCATCTGCTTTAATAGTAGTAAACACTTCAAGCATTTGAACATCAGGATTTGAATTAGCTATTTAGTTGTTTTAATTTTTTCATTATGGGCCATGATTGTTATTCTCATCAAATGTCTTCAGAACAGAACATCAGTGACTTGATATATTTGATGTCACCAAACATTAGAACAATGTGGTATATGGGTCACTATAAATGATATGACAGCCTGTCTGTGCTCCATACATTATCTGTGTAGACATTGTAAATCTTATTATCACTTATTTAATCTACTCAGCATTATTTACGATTGAACCTGCTTGAACTTCTTAATATTTTCTACAGATTATGATTTAATCTCTTTTTTAGTCACTTATATGTATAGCTTTTACTTTGAACTAAATTAATACACATAGTACTCTTTGCTGCAAATTCAATCTATAGCCTCCAGTATATTAAAAATACAAGCATGTTTCTAAAAAAGTAACACGAAAAATTAACTAACTAAACTAATTTTGCACGAAAGCATGACCTTGCATGCTGCTCACTAGGAGAATGTCATCAGATGCAGTTTCTCATTTAAAAGGTATATTTAGATTTTTTTTTTGTTAGTTTTATTTCTTTTTTTCAGTGAAAATCACTCAGCTGAGTTGGGTGGTGACATTTATTTTAATTTAATTGCATGTATTATTGGGTTTTTGAAAAGGCTTAATAAAGGTTGGAGGAGGGTTATTGTTAACTTAAGTAGCTGTAATAAAAATAGTTATTGTTGTTTTTTTAAACATATGTATTGGTGAATTTTCAATGGAAAATCAATTTTGCAGATCGCATGTGAAATTGAGCCTTCAGTCTTTTGATAACATCTGACATGAAAATACTTTGTATTTTATAAACTTTAAGTTAAATCTCATTTGTTTGTTTTAGATGAATGATCAAATATTTGTGTACATTTTGGCTTTGGATTGACTCATTTTCCTTGTGATTTATTTTCTGATTGAAATTGTGGTTAAAGGTTTAAGTGCAAGTCAACAAATATTCAGTGAAATTGTACATGTTTATTGTAGCCAAATAAATGTCATTAAAATACACTGAAAGATCTTCAAGTTGACCTGGAACCTTACGACCTGAAACTCTTAGCAGATATTCATAGAGGATTTATGTACAGAAGAAGCAAATCGAAGAATCTTAAATATCTAAGAGTTCAGTGAGGGTCATTTACTGTTGCGATAAGGGTTTAGAATAAATGCGAAAAACACATGGATATATTCAGGAAACTTACCTGGCTTATGTAGTACTTTCCACAGGGCAGGATGAGTATAAGAGTAAAATGTGATCACGTTAACGTCTTACAACATTCTGATTTGCGGTTTTCAGCACCAACATTTGTGACAGAATTACCAAAAAATGTTCAGATATTGGAAGGAAGCTCAGTTAGACTGGACTGTCGAATATTTGGACGGCCTGACCCAGAAATAACATGGATGCATGATGGGAAAGAGCTTGAAGAAAGTAGAAAATATAAGACAGAGTTTGCGGGAGAGGATGGTGTTTCATTGGTCATTACTGAGGCAACCATAGACGATGGTGGTACATATCTCGTGAGAGCTGACAATCGTAAAGGCTCCGTCACCAGCACAACAAAACTCATTGTACACTGTGAGTATACCCATTTTTTAACAAATGAAAATTATATCTTTGGTTGTCATTTCTAAAGCCATTCAGTAATATTGATCCATGCTAAAAACAACATAATTTCATGATCCAGAAACAGTGGATAAGTAATTTCCCATCCCTCCCCTCAACATATTTTTCCATCAGTAGGGGAGGGGAGAACTGCGAGGGGTGGGTTTGTCCTGAAGAGACATTTGAATGGTGCAGAGCATTTATAAAAACACACACGGGTTATCTTGTTCAGTAGATTTAACTTTTGTGTAAAGATAAACTTGGATTATTGTTTTGTTTAATAATAACAGTAATGCTGTAATATGTACACAATACACATAACATAGCTTGCCAAATTAATACACTTGGGCAATATTTTGGCAATATTTCAGGACTTAAAACAGTACTCATAATTTTAACCTAAGATTGTAATTTTTTGATTCAAGTACACCTTTCTCTACACACATCATTTATATCCAAATATTTAAAAGTTGATTTATTTATTGTTGGAAAAATTGTGAGATAAGCTGCAAACTGATATTGAATGATAAATGACACATATGACCTTGGTGAATAGTTATTACTTCAGCTAAGTGCCAAGGTCAACCAATATACATGTACTGATGTAAATCTACAAAATGTTAATAATTACATCAATTATTAAAAAGAAACTACTATTAATTTTTAAAAACCAGTTAAAGTTCTATTATAGGTTTGGTGGGGGGAGGGTCAATCTGAAAGTGTAATTTATGACATTTTAGGACAACATCAAAAATAACAATCAAAAACATATTAAACTGATCCCAAATACAATATAAAACAGTTCGGTTGAATAATATACAGAACTAAATGAATAAAAACAATAAAGCCAGCCACTCAATAAATAATCAATGAAAAATAACTCTATGATATAAAAATCTCAAATGGATATTAGTATGAGTGATCAATGGCCCTGGCGTTTTAAAAAACAAGAGTTATAATGGTGATATTTGAAATTCTGGTGTCTTTCAGAGTGACAGCCAGAAGACAAATGAATATTCCTTGAATCATAATTAACCTTGTTTTAAAGAAAAGTTTTACTGACATCTCTACCAATTGATTGTTTACCTGTAATTCTGATATTCTAAGGCTAGTGTTGATCTTTGTTTATCTCCCCGTGTTAGCACCTTGGTGCTGTATCACTGTATCAATGATTAAATGCACCTGCTAGGTGCCTGTTTAACTGAATCTCAATCACGCTTTATTTCTAGTTCTGCACATCCCCCCCCCCAATATTCTCTCTTATTTAGTTGGAGGAGCATATATTGGGGGAGCAGAGGCAGGAGGAAGACTACTTTATTGCTAAGTTCATTGTGTAAATTAATGAGTGTACATATACATGTATTTATATGGGGTTTACGGTAGATACAGATCAGATCAAAATGTCATTTTTAAAAAAAAAATTACGAAGTGTTCAAACTTCATCACTTGACACAAACAACAAATGTGTCCTCAAGTGTTAGTGTAATCTTACTGCCCATGTAGATCTCAACATGTTTAGCTTGACAATTGTAAGGTGTTTTCCCATCCCCAAATGGAAATATGAATGGTTCAACAAAAATAATAATAAATATTTGTCTGTTCCAGCTATTGACGATGTTGGACTCTCAACAAAAGATGACACAGAAGAAACACTTTCAAAGAAACCAAGACGCCAGCGACAAACGGGCAAAGACCAAACAGATAATAAAAACACTATCAAATTAACAAAACCAGAATTCTTGCTTCGCCTTCGTAATAAGACCGCTAAGGTTGATGATGTTGCCAAATTAAGTGTTAAAGTAGAGGGAGATCCAGTTCCTAGTATTACTTGGTATAAAGATGATGAAGAGATCACTCAGGAGAGTGGAGATGGTGAGAGAGTGTTCTAAACTTTGCCAAAAAGGGAGGTGCACCTGTCATTGTACAGGTCATCCCAATTATTACACAAAAATGTTTCATTTTTTCATAGCTGTTTTGAATTTTTTACCTGTTACTTCACAAAGATTTTGGTATATTTGTTTTGAAATCTGAATATTGTTTGAAATAAAAGATACATACATAGTACATATTCAAAATCAAATGTATTGTCATTCTAGTAGAGGGCAGTATATATCATATCATTTTAAGACAATCATGTGAGAATTGGAATCATTTCCCATATATATTTTCTCATTTATTAAATGAGTCTTATCATGGGCTTTCAAGAGATCTTGACCTATGGTTTATTTAAAGGACAATTTGGTCAAGAGGAAATTATGTGTTGCATGTTGTTTACATTTTTTTGGTCCCACCTTTGTTTTTAGGAAAGTATGAGATATTCAATGAAGGCAACATTTATAACCTTGAAGTGTATGACACGGATATAGGAGACCATGGCCAATACTCATGTACAGTGCAAAACCTACATGGATCAGATACTTCCAAATGCCAGCTAGTCATAGAGGGTCAGTGATGTCATAATGACACTTTTGTTGAATGTTGTCTTGTTTAAAGCACAGATACGTTTTTCTTCCTATTTGTCCATATTTTAGAAAAAATTATGCATTACTCTGGTAATAATCCAAATCTTTTTAATTGAGCTGTGATTTTTGGTCAGTGGGTTACATTGATATTACATCCTTTCATTAGATTTTCATACAAAAGAAGCAGTACAATCTAAAATTAGGAAAGTTTGTAAAAAAGCTCTAAGTTAATAGTCTATTGGTTTCCAACTAGCCTGATCCTTTCTATAAACTTGTATATTTATTTATTCATGTTACAACATTTCTATATTTTTAGATGATGAGAAGTCCCATTATGAGATTCCAAGTTTCCCGAAGCCTTTGCGTGACAGTTCTGTGGTTGAGGGAGACACAGCAGTCTTCAAATGTAAAGTGAAAGGAACACCAGAGCCAGAAGGAAGATGGTGGGTATACAATGGCTTATGATGTCACTAGAAGTGGTGACACATTGTTATATAGTCTTCAACGTTTTTGTTGCAGTGTTTGGAGTTTGTTGTTCAGTGTCTGTAACAAATGGTGGGTGGTGACATTTTGCATGTCAATGCCTTGTTTTAGGAATGTTGTGAAAAGTATTAGTACAGTAATGAATTTCATTTTAGGTTGATTCTCCATAGTGCCTTCTATTCTTCTTAATGTTGTTTAGTTGCTTATTCCAATTAGACGACTATAGAAGCTGCCATAATAAACAAAATTTTGTAAAGGAATAGCCCTACATTTTCAAATTATTCATGAAGAATAACCAAATGGATTCAAATCATGAAAATTATGTTTGACTGCATATCTTATTTCATTTATATACATTATGTGTTATAATTACATTATTCCAGGATGAAAGATGGTAAAAAACTCCGTCCAAGTCGCAACCACAAGATGGAGATCTTAGAAGATGTGTATTCACTTGTGATATCACACGCATGTATAGATGATGAAGGCCAGTATACATTTACAGCCACTAGTCCTGCAGGAACCAACTCCTGCGCTGGATTCCTGACTGTTGAGGGATCAGGGAAAGAAAACAACAGTGTGTTAAGTGTCAAGGACCTTAAAGCTACTGGAAAGAAAAAGAAAGGAGCATACAAGTAGGTTGAATTCATTCTCATATGAAAGGGGTAATTAGACATTCCTACATTTTTATGTTGCCACCAGAATAGGTGACATATAGTTATGGTCTCCAACTTTTTTGTGGCGGTGGTTGGAGTTCAGGATTTGGCATTCTGCATCTGCACTGGTGCTCCACTAGATTACGCCGGTTACCAAAACAAACTGTTTCGGAACAAAATCTGGGAACCTCGAAGGTACGATTTTTCTTTTTTCCTTATTCCACGCATTGTTAGCAGAATTCCCAGAACTTCAAAGAATGGTTAAAATTTTCATTTCTAACCCATTCCATTTTGTAACTTAAATGAGGTATTCAATTGACTATTATGTTGTCTTGTGAACTATTTGTTCGCGAACATGTACGTTTTCTTAAACATATGATACTGACACACGTTTGTGATACAAATGTAATGGGAATTCTGCCTACAACGCATGAAATAAGGAAAAAAGAAAAATCGTTCCTTCGAGGTGGTTCTGATATTTTGTTATTGAAATGATTCATTTCGGTAACCATCATAATCGAATTGATGACCAGTGATCTGTAACAATTGGCAAGTGGTAACATTTTGCTTGTTAATGTCGTGTATGAATTTGGGATACAAGTCTTTGATTTTTTGTGAATTTTTTATTTCTACTTCTGTATTTTAGGTTACAATATACACATGTATTTGAAAAATTAGCTGAAAGTGCTCTGAACCAATTAAATGAATTCTTACAAACATTACCATAAAATCTATAAACTCCATTAATTTATTTAATTTAACTCAGTATTTATTGAGATATGAATATGTAGCATAATGTCCATTGCCAGAGGTCATTTTATACATTTAAACACAACACTTTGAAAATTAAATAAATCGCTGAATTAAGATGAAACTATCATGGCTGTATGTCCCTTGCTATTTTGGACTCAGTTCACTTTGTCCTCTTTTTGTCTGTTCTTTTTGCTTTTTGCGATACTTCTTATTATCAGAAGCTCCAAATATGTTTGCATACATTTTCTTTAAGTGTTCAAACAACCTTCCTAAGTCTGAGAGCACAATTAACAATAGAATTCCTAGGACCAATAGTGACACAGACAATCCTATGGCTTTTGCACCTGGAGCTTCTGATGGTGAATGCACCACTCTCTTGATTGGCCAATGGGATGTAGAATCTGGTGAAATTTTGCCAATTTTATATTGGTTTAGCATTATCACTATTTGTGAAAAGGGTTTTACTCCAGCTGCAGTTGTAACTTTGCCAGTAGTTGTTACTTTGCCAGTAGTTGTAACTTCATCTTCAGTTGTTTCCCCAGTTCTAGTTGTATTCAATATTTTAGCTGTATTTCTTACAGCAGCAGTATTTATTATCCCAGGTGAAGCTGTTACATCAGATGTATTTGTTACTTCAGCTGTAGCTGTTTCATTAGGTGTATTTATTACCACAGCTGTATTTGTTACATCAGCTATAGCTGTTACATCAGATGTATTTGTAACTTCAGTTGTAGCTATTACATCAGCTGTAGCTGTTACATCATACGTATATGTTACTTCAGCTGTAGCTGTTACATCATATGTATATGTTACTTCAGCTGTAGCTGCTACATCAGATGTATTTGTTACTTCAGCTGTAGCTGTAACATCATATGTACTCATTATTTCAGCTGTAGCTGTTACATCAGGTGTATTTGTTACTTCAACTGCATCTGTTACACCAGGTGTATTTGTCACCACAGCTGTATTTCTTACTTCAGCTGTAGCTGTTACATTAGGTGTATTTGTTACTTCAGCTGTAGCTGTTGCATCAGGTGTATTTGTCACGACGGCTGTATTTCTTACTTCAACTGTATCTGTTACACCAGGTGTATTTGTCACCACAGCTGTATTTCTTACTTCAGCTGTAGCTGTTACATTAGGTGTATTTGTTACTTCAGCTGTAGCTGTTGCATCAGGTGTATTTGTCATGACGGCTGTATTTCTTACTTCAGCTGTAGCTGTTACATTAGGTGTATTTGTTACTTCAGCTGTAGCTGTTGCATCAGGTGTATTTGTCAGGACGGCTGTATTTCTTACTTCAACTGTATCTGTTACACCAGGTGTATTTGTCACCACAGCTGTATTTCTTACTTCAGCTGTAGCTGTTACATTAGGTGTATTTGTTACTTCAACCGTAGCTGTTACATCAGATGTATTTGTTACTTTAACTGTAGCTGTTACATGAGGTGTATTTGTTACTTCAGCTGTAGCTGTTTCATCAGGTGTATTTATTACCACAGCTGTATTTGTTACTTCAGCTGTAGCTGTTACATCAGGTGTACTTGCTACCCCAGCTGTATTTGTTACATCAGCTGTATTTGTTACATAAGGTGTATTTGTTGCCGAAGTTGGATTTATTTCCTTAAATATATCTGTAGCTGTTACTTCAGCTGTATCTGTAATTGCAGCTGTGTTTGTTACTTCAGCTGCAGTTTCTACATTTGCTGTAGTTGTAGCATCACTTGTAGCAGTTATCTCAGTTGTTGTTGCTTTCACTGTAGTTGTTTTAAAAGTAGTTGTATCAGTAGTTGTGTCAACAGTAGTTGTTACCTCACTTGTTGTTGGGATAATAGGACATGCAATTTGTTCTGCCGCTGGAATCAAGGTTTTCTCATTCTTTTTAAATTAGTTTATATGTTTCAAAGGTATTTAGATTTCAGGCAAAGTATGTTACTTTGGCAATAATGCTAAAAGCAAAGCGTAAAGTATTTATGTATGAATAAAAAATAGTAATAGAAGAACACATACTTGTTGTTTCACAAATAAAGTTCAACTCAGTCATGCAATTTTCTTCCATCCAGTCTCCTGGTGGGGGTGCAGACTTGAACATGGCACATTTCTTATTAGCTGTCCATTTGCTCTCATCCACATTAGTATCCAAGCGCACTATGTCGCATTCATTCACATCTACCAGGCCGACAAAGCCAGCGGGCCATGGACCCGAATGTGGCTTTTTTATGCCTATCCAATACTTGCTGTAAGATGAAATGAAAATGCATGTAATTTTGCATGTAAAATCAGAAGGTCTGTCCTAAAGTTCATACAAAAAAGGTAAAGGATAACTACCTCTTATTTAATAGTTGAATAGTATTATGAAATGAATAAAACATAAACTAAAATGCAAACTAAATAGAAAGTATTTGCTTATTATACATACGACCATTCTGCTACTGCCTGTATATCATCTTGTTCTTCCAAAGTTTGAGGTGTTGCTATATGTCCATCATGGTATGTTTCACAGTAACTCTGTGCTGCATCAAATGATAACTTGTTTGGCCCAGCTACATAAATCCCAAGACTCGCAGTAATGCACATTGACCCTAATAGACATGTTTGCCAGAACAAATGAATTAGGTTTTTCATAATAGGGACTTATTGCTGCAAATTGAAAATTATTTCATCATGAATTTTACTTTTGTGTGACAAACCCATTTCTGATCCCTGTACAGCGTTGTAAAAGATAAAAAAGGAACTGCTTGCCATTATATTGTTGATGAACAAAATACTATAAAAACATATTGATTGGTTTGACCATGATGTCATCTGTGTTATATACATTACATGTATGTATTTTAAAAGGATATGATTCTTTGATCTATTTTGAACATTTCCTTTCTGCATGCCCTGGAGGCTTGTACCTGTTTTATCAAAGTTTGGTAGTTTTAATGAAAACAGAATTAAATCCACTGCTAATAGAAAATCCTGGTTTATGGGAAAAAAGCAAGGCAAATTGTTGTTTCTCATGACAGGCCTGGTTATCTTCAAAGTCTTCTATTCTTATTAAGGGTGATCAGTAGAAAAGGTGAATGGGTGTGGTATTTTGTTAATTGGTCAAAACATCATGAAAGGTTAGCATATACATTTCTACATTGATATTAATAGAGCTCTGGGAATTTTCTGAATCTTCAAATGACCCAAATTTCCAAATGATGATTCCATTAGAAAAAATTAGCTCAAATTGCTCATATTAGTTTATTAACTTTCTTAACTCATGCAGATTGTGTAATTCAAGGTGCTTGTATATTTCAACTTTGATTCATATAACATGTCACAATTTCTTGTTTAAAATATCAAATAGCATATATCTGTATATGAAAGTACTGCGAACATGGGTAGGAATCGATCAAAGAATCAAATCACTCTATTTGAAATATTTTATGATAATTCTCCCTTTCGCGGTTCGCTCTTTGAATCAGAACGTTCGCAAATATGTTCTGAAAAAGCACTCAAAAAGGACAAAATTTGATTGGTCAATATTTTCCCACTATGCATTTCGCGTAGCTATTTGCGTGACCCGAAAGTTCTAAATCAAACTAATTACGCAATTTTGTTTTTACACCCGCACGCTAAACAAAACAATGACACCGTCGGAAGTATTCTTCTTTGTCATTGCTTTAATAGTCAGTATACCGAGTTTAATCAAAAAAAGATTGTACAATGAACAACAAAATTCGGAAACGAGTACTATAGATTTGCTTTCGGACCACTGAACAGATTGACCTAGATAATAGCGACGCGTCTTCTTTGGTCTACTGCTCAGTTGTTTGTGGGTTTTCAACATAACTCTATAACACTGTATGTACAGAGATCGCCTAGTATTAAAAGTGGGTGATCAAAGACTCGACAAGATGCGCAAAATCCAAAATGTCGGAGGAAAGGTATGTTTGTTTGTCTTCTCTTTACCAGTTTAAAGTCATTTTACCTACAGATGGTATTCCATATGCTGTATAAGAGACTCAAGATTCATTTGGTAACAGGATTCAGTGATTAAATCAACCGAAATACCTGAACTGAGTTGATAAAAGAAGCAAACTCAAAAACCCGTCGAACGAAAATGTATTTTTTTTAAAATTTTCTGTTTTTAGATTGCCAAAACCACAAAACAAATATCATCTATGGTTAATATACATAAAACTTAACATTACATGCAAATCAGACGTTTCAACTCCCCTTCAGTATCGAGTAAGGAGGATGTTATAAAAAAAAATTATGATCAGCCAAGTGAGTGATTTTACCATGTGGATTCTAATGATATGTTCTTTGCATTTCAGAGTGGTTGGATTTACATGTTTCTATTGTCCTTCACTACGAACTGTTAAATTTCAAAACATTATAAATCACCTTATAGAACATCATGAAGATGAAATGATGAAGATGAGAAAGATTATTGAAAATAGAGGCAAATTTAGAATGATTAGAAGATTTATGAGCTTGACAAGTAAAGATTTGGTTTTAATTATAAATCAAACAAATCTTTAATGTACATATGACCAAAGCCTAAACTGGAACTTTTCCTCAGCCCATCCACATAACGCTGTCTAGAATAGCAGAGTATTTATTTCACTTTGTTTCTCTAAAAACGCCCACTGGGCGTTTATTTATTCGATTACATACAATTCTAACATTTTCAAGCTAATCACCTATACACCTTAGTTGAAAATTGATCAATAAATCTTCTGAATATTGAACTATAGAGCAGCTTTCCCCTATACCTATCATTTACATATGACCCAGGTTAGCCACCTCGTGGTGAAACTGGGAACTGACTACTGGCATCTACTGAAGGTCATTACATTTTTCTATAACTTATTGATACCTTGCTGCAAAAGAATGATTTAACTCCCCAATGAAATAGAAAGTGTACAATTCAGATTTAATAAGTTTATTATGAGACCCCATGTCCATAACAACCACAATCATGACAATGGATGATACAGTGACATACATTTTCATTTATGATTTATTCAATTCTTGCATTACAATTCGACAATCTTCTTGGATGCCAAGCTGTTAAGTTTTCATACCTTGGAATCAGAGGGTAAAATAAATGGACTGAAATGTGACTTTTAAAACTGTTCCATTTATAAGGTGTTACGCTTCAAGAGGTTTTTCTCTTAGCAGTGTACAGTGTACATATCATATTGTATTCAAACATAGACAGAATAACAAAATATACGCACACAGTGACCATTTAATCGAATGAATCAATGAACGGTGATGTACATGTTTATTTTAATTTGGACATACATTTTGCATGAAACCCCATTTTTCTTCTCTTTAAAGCATATAGTGTATGATCTGCTGAAACTTACGCTATAGGCCGATCAGTTCATTTCTGTGTTAAAATATTTATTCCATGTTATTTAAGAGGAAACGTGGACTTTATCATGGTCAAATGGAAGCCCAAGACCCTACCTAAGTATAAAAAATTAAAGTGTGTAAAAATCTTCTATTGTTTTTGATATTTTAAAGCTTTTTAAATAAAACAGCACATATTATATCGCATTTATATCTTTACATCGTAAAATCAATCTTATATACGAAAAATGGTCAAAGTAATATATATTTTTCAAAGCATATGGGTGTTCTTGTGCCTACAAAACCTTATTGAATCACCAGTAGCGTGTAATATAAACACAAATAAATCTTTTAAAAATAACCGTTACAAGATATTTGAATTTTGCGCATCTTGTCGAGTCTTTGATCACCCACTTTTAATACTAGGCGATCTCTGTACATACAGTGTATAATGTAATTTGAAGATGAATACTTTTATTCAGTTGTTGCATCAATGTTGCAGTTTGTAGTGCGGTAAGATTGGCATGAAAGTATTGAAAGTCGAATGGAATTGTTTTTTCCAATATGGCGACTAGTCAACTGATCACGTGACCTTCTCTTCCGGAATATTTTCTCACTTTTCAATCGTCGTTTTCACCACGCTATGAATCAATACAATGAAAGAAATAGCTGTTATATTAAGATTAATAAGAGATCAATCGTTTCTAAAAAAAATTTCTGTACTCTCGTACGGGAATATGAACGAATATATCGTTTGAAAAATTGGTGTGAAAATCCCCATGTTAAACCTATGAGGGAAAACAAGGAAGTATAAATTTGTTCCTCCGCGAACTGCATCATGGGAAATATTTTGACCTTATAAGGAAAGATTTTCGCGTCTCCTCTTTTGAAAAGGGAACAACGATTTCGAGAATTACAAGTTTTTCCGAATGAATAGAAAAGATCAGCTGTCTAGTGATTTAGTTGTCAGAAAGATGGCAGTGCTGTTTGCCTATATTTTATCTCAAGCATGTTAAAGTGGAAGCAAAGAATACAGCGTAAAATGTTGGAACCAATTTTTTTTTAAAGTCCTAACATCCCTTACATCCTTAAAGTTATTGACGATTAAAGATGCAGAAATGTTCAGATTCATTAGAATTGAAAATTGGTTCAAAATTTGTAATATTCAAAGCATTATTGTGAAGGTCTAAATTTTCAGAAAATAGGCCTTACATGAAATACTGCTGAGCAAAAAAAAATTAAAATTTGAACTCTATTTCAGTTCTAATGAAATTTGATATTTCTAATCTTGAATAATTTTAATATTTTGTATGAGATAATCGCATCTATTTCAGATATTTTTATGATGGTAAGGGACACATCATTGTCACTTTTATTGAAATGACTCCTTCCTTTCTTTACTCCCATTTACCTTTCCTGGCACTTTTATCAAAGGAACCATTTATGCACTTCAGGGCCCCCCAGTTCCTGAGAGATTTGCAGCCAATGACAATAGAGGAGGGGAAGACAATCCAACTGAAGTGTCGTGTAGAGCAAGACCCAAAGATAGAGGTCTACTGGATTAAAGATGGCCAAGTTGTAAGTGAATTTTACTTTGTATATCTATATCACCATGAGAAAGGGCTTCCTAGTACTTCTTTGCAAGATAGAAAGAGAATCTGAAAGTCAGGTAGGTTGCAAACTCTCCCATCACACCTTGAATTTATTCACTGTGGCATCATTTCAATCGGGAGTTTTACCTCATTTACACTTGTAGCCTCTCAGTTATGGAATTGTCACACTAAGCCCATGTTGGCTCACTGTTCGTCACCATGTGGATACTTTGGGGCAGAGGGCGGGGGCACAGCATCGTCTTATAGCAAGAGTAGATATCCCACACAATGGCGAATGTTGATCTTACATGGCTAATGTGACAACACCTTTAAGCTTTGGTATGATACATGGTACTGGATGCCACCCATATTGTAAACTACAGTATATACATAAAATTAAAAGAGCCAACATCGTGCCATTATATAAATTTGGTGAATGCATCTGTTAAAAGATGGCACTATAGAATAATGACTAGAATTTTCAGAGAAGTGATTAAGTCAATCATTGATATGAGTACTCTCATCTTGAGAGTGTTACACAGAGATCATAAAACTTTGAGCAGGTAACTGAGAGATATCAAATGAGAACTAGAGCACTCTCATGGCACTCTAAAACTGGATAGCTACATTATATTGCAACCTGTT